ATACTTTCCTGCATAATGGTCTTAACCAGCCATCTACCCTCCAGTTTGTATTTAAGATGGATTTAGCCTTGAAGGCTCCAGGATTGAAAAGGCAGAAAGATCTATAGTCAAACACATGGCTTCAATCAGGAAGGACAAAGTGAGGATAAAATAACCAAAAGGTAACAAGACTTGAATCTGACATTACTCCCTTGGGAAAAGACTATAGAGAATCTTCAGTGAAAGGAACAGATTTCTGTAACAATTCACCCCCACAAAATTAGAAATCCAGCCCATTCCAAACTAAGATATGGTATAGGTTCTCCTGCTTGAGCAGGAGGCTGGACTAGAAGACCTCCAAGGTCCCTTCCAGCTTCTATTCTATTCTATTCTATTCTATTCTATTCTATTCTATTCTATTCTATTCTATTCCATCCCATCCCATCCCATTCTATTCTATCCCATCCCATCCCATCCCATCCCAACCCATCCCATCCCATCCCATCCCATCCCAACCCATCCCATCCCATCCTATTCTATTCTATTCTATTCTATTCTATTCTATTCTATTCTATTCTATTCTATTCTATTCTATTCTATTCTATTCTATTCTATTCTTAGATATGATAACACTTCTAAAAAAACATATCAAATGAATTACAACTTTCTATAGATAGAAGAGAATATTAGCCAAACCATGTGAAGGTATCTTTTATAATTATAACATTTCTCGACACATTTACCTGACTGAGGTCAATATACTGTAAACCTTCTAATGTACAAAGTTCAAAACAGTCAACCAGTCATCTTACTTGGTTTTTTCAAGAAGCAAGGGGGTTCAAGAGAAGAAAAAACTGAACAATTTTTCTTCATTGAAAAAAGTTCCTAACCTTTATTTATATCTGTTAATTAATGAAATTGGTATGAGCTGTGTGTTATTTAGGCCATTTCATTGAACAAGTCATAAAAAGAATGAATAATATAACTTCTGTGTTCATCTGAAAACAATCAAGTGAGAGAACTAGGAAACTATTATTAAAGAAAATTAGATGTAGCCAAAATTTACCCATGATATATATAATTATCCTATCTTATAGTAACAAGTTATTGAGATTATATATTTATCAATGGCATAGGAATATCCAATGAACTTTGAAATATTCATATATAAAGTCTCCTTTTCTGGATGGCACATATGCACTCACTCTTTCTTTCAATACAACCTACAGATTATGTTATCAATCTTTTGCTTGCACTGTGTTTAATTTTAAACTCACTTCTAGAACCAGAATTGATTGTTCCTGCAATCAATTATGCAGTATAATTTTGTTTTTATTTTTGTTTTAAAAAGACATCCTAAATGTTAAGAGTTCTTACTGAATCTAATTATTCCTCAACTGCACATGAGGTTTTCCTGGATTTAAAATTCCGTTAAATTTAGCGATACTAAATCCAAACAGCATTTTTTAAGAGAGTATCCCCGAAACATATCCTGCTTCTATTTCTAACCATTTTGCTAAAATGCCAGGTTATCTAGCCATCTGCCAAATTATCACTTGTTCAGCAATTTTTTAAAATCCTGACAGCACTGACCATGGAGACTTACAATTACAACTACTACCGTAGTTGTGGCCCCTACAGTTTCCATGCAGTTGCATGATCACAATTTGGGCTCCTGGCAATCAGCAGCTCACAGTTATGATGGCTGCAGTATCCTGAAATCACAGGAGCATTACTTGCAATCGTGACTACTTGTTCATGACAAGCAAAGTTAATGGGGCAGTGAGCTGGAGGTATCATAGCAAGTCATGGCTACGTAAGGTTGCGCCTAACAATCACACACAAAACATTTAATGATGGCAACTGGAACTGCCATAACTGCTGTTGTAAGTCAGCATGCTTTACAATCATATCCCTTAGTAATGGAGTTGCAAATTGTAATTATTGTTGTTAAGCAAGGACTACCAGGAATGTGTGCTCATCTCTCTTTTTTTGTTATTTTTAAAACATTTTCTCTTTTTCTTAAAAAAAAAGTTTTGTCTTCACTTAATTTGCTGTGGAATATGTGGTGTATAAGGAAACCATTCTTGTTTGAATTTGGTTACATTTCTGCTATGACTATATAGTCAGTAATCAAATATTTTTGAAAGTTATAAGTGCTGATATTGATTGGATGATTTTTAAATATATTACAGTATCGGCTTAACCAACTCCCCTGTCCCAAGTCAAGAACACAAAAATGCACAAAGGGTAGTTTCTCACTTTCTTAAATGATATTTGAAAACACATGAGACTTGCAGTATAGACATTTCAACATGTTTGTCTTACAAAGTTTCAAAATCAAAGTGGCAAGCAGAAAAACTAGTCAGGCAAAGTCCAAAAATCAGAGCTTGTAGAAGGTTTGTTAGTCAATCTGGTTTCAAAAATCCAGACTCATGAAGTTCAAGAGTCAAGATACACAGAGGGAGGGTTAATGGGACAGTTGTCATCAACAGAGGGACTTGAGTTTGCAGCTCTATTTTAATAGAAAGATCCCTAGTGTAATTCATTTAGTGGGGTAAGATTCCTTCCTCATAAGCAGACTTGCATAGCACCTTTGTTTTACTCTCTTTGCAGCCTGATGACCTCTTGCATTGAGAAGGGATGGTAGTGCCACACCTTCATCTTCAAAGAGCAGCTGCAGTTATGCCTGCTGGTTGCTAGCCCATCCCATCTCCTCTGACAACAGTTCCTTCATCTAGCTCTGGGGTAGTCAACCTTGGCTCTTTTATGACTCGTGGACTTCAATTCCCAGAATTCCTGAGTCAGCTTAGCTGGCTCAGGAATTCTGGGAGTTGAAGTCCACGAGTCATAAAAGAGCCAAGTTTGACTACCCCTGATCTAGCTGCTTGTTGTCGATTTCTTCCTTTGACTTTGAATATGAGCCCATATGGCAGCACCCAAGGACTTTAGATTAGTTGCTATTCCTAATATTAATAGGAATAAACTGTGAGCCTCTTCTGAAGCCTCCCGTTCATGAAATGGAAGCCAAGAGACCATCTCAACTCAGCGTGGGAAAAAAAAACACTGTTTTCACTTCACATAGCAGAAAATAACAGTTAGAAGTGTCCAACCCCTTACTCAAGCAGGAAACCCTATACCATTTCAGATAAATGGTTTTCCAATCTCTTCTTAAAAACCTACAGTTTTAAAGCTTCCATGCCAAAAACAACCTATTATTATTAATATTACTATTTATATGCAGTCTACCAGATAATTCTGACAACATTTGATATTTTTGAATATTGGATACTTGCCAAGAGACTAGGATAGTTAAAGATACTATATATACTGTAATGTACACTGTACTTGAAACAATGCCAAATTTATCATTGATGATTTAAGTTTTTGTCTATTCCTATGGCATCAAATGCTGTTCCATATATTTTGATATTCAACCAGGCATACCAAGCCCAAGTGGCTACTTCCCCCCAACCAATAATTTATGCCATTATTGTTATTTGTTGTCAAAGTAAGACTCATAGTATTCAAAAGAATGGCCCAAAGGAAATATTGAGTCTGAAACTAAAATGGATACGGAGATATTAAGATAATTTATGTTCACTTTGAGTTGCTGGAACGACCAAAGAAATCAATTGCCTACTTCATTTTCTCATGCCATTGCTCAGAGATATTTTAAAATTTGGAAGTGGTAAGTAGAGATAAAGGTTTTGTTTCGCTGCTCCACTAGCTTTAGCAATTATTTTTCTATAAACTACTGCACATAATTGTATCCATTTCAAGAATGGCCTATGAGTTCTAATATATTCCTAGTGTTTGCATGTGTTTTTTGACTTTTTCAGCTTATTTCTTTCACTATAATTGTAGCTGAGAGAAAGAACAATACTTTGGGCTGGTTTATAGGATGTGCCCTTGACTTTGGAAGAGTCAGATCAAGAGATGCTAACAAGGCATTGCTTCTAGGCACTTGTGGAGGGCAGTCTTTATTTAACTTACTTACAGGGAGAACAAACTTGGATCTTCAAATATATGAAGACTGCTGATCCACACTGCTTATATGATTAACTGAATAAAAACTAATGACACTGTAAATCAAAAGGCATTAACACTAGCAAAATGTTGGAAGATTCCACAAAGCAATAATTTCTAGGCTAGTACTTCTGGGAGCAGTATTATACACAGAAGGTTGAAACAAAATGAGAAGATATTAAAGAGCCTCTCAAATTTAAGACTATATGTAAGATAGGAAGAGTGAAAAATAATCTTATTTAAAGCCTAAGAGAACTGCTTCCTTTGATGAAAAAGTCTTTTCCAAGTCTTTTTTTTAAATACATTTATACAAAAACCTATAAGCATAAGTTGATTGGGACATCAGAAAAATTCTCTATTACCACTCTTACACAATAAAAACTCTATCAACATTATTGTATTTAATAACTAATATACTGCAATATCTCAGAAGAGCTTTTTCTTGAGCTCACTTTGAACAAGTAGACTCTATACTAAGTTATGAGAAGTTTCATGGAGTTCCGTTTGAAGGAAGACCTTCCATTTGTGGAGCACCAGCCATTGAGACATTGGGCATACAAAAACTACAAACTATATTCTGCAGAAAAGGACTGCTTATTTAAATTCTTATTTAAAAACTAGAAAAAAAAATACTGGGGAACCTGGGAGAAACCAATTTAGTTTTAATTTTAGCAGGGAACGAACTTGCATATTGCTAATAAGACTGGACTCTTTCTATTTCAAAGGCCCTTTCAAAAAGGACCGAACATTTAGATCAGTGGGCATCGGGCCCAGTGTCAGGGCCAGCTGAAAGCTCTGATGGGGATGAAGGAATGGAGCTGTCACAGCCAGGGACAGGGGTGGAGCCTGGGCCATTTGCAGGCCCCTGGATGGAAAGGCTGAGACCTCCATGCCTTGAGGCAAGTGATTCAGGAGAGGAAGATCATATGGAGCCAGTGATTGATGCTCAGGGGCAGCAAGGCTGAGGAGAAGAGAACAGCAAGAGGCTATGGGCTGGTCTTCGGGGTGGAAGAGTCACCGCTGCTAACAGAGCCCCACCCTCAGCTGTGGATAAAAGGCAGGGGCGGAGATGAATAGGTGTGGCAGACAACTATTTGTCTCCCTGTCAGTCAGCCACGTCTAATTGGAACTCCTGACTCTTGTTTGGAAACTTGCTGGAGTTTTCCTCAGATCCTATGGCGCTGGGAGTCAGAGCACCTTCTGAGTGTGTAAGTGTATCTTATGTTGGAATAAAGCCAGCTTGCCTGAAGGACTCTTGCTATAAGCATGGTGAAAGACTGAGATTAACTCTGGGTTTGAGGAGACCCCTGCAGGGAAAAAGGGAGTGAGCTCTGTTGTTTGGAGGCAACTAAAGACTTGAACAGGTGGCTGTGTGAAACTGCTGGCATTCCTGAATAAAAGGAACATTGGAGATTTATTGGTGTGTCTATTGTGTTTGGGGAGCCGGGTCAGAACAATTATAGAGAAGATAACTTACTGTGAATATGTCCTATTGTTTTCTTTGTATTTACTTGTATATTTGTACTAGTTTATATTTTTGACATGGTCAAATGACTAAATCAATGAAGTTTCTATTCTAAATGTTACTGCAACCCTGATAAAGAACTAGAGCTATGAGTCTGAATCTCAAATTAGGCTAAAATTTAAGTTCTTACTGAAGCAAAAGATTTATTAGTTCAGACTAGCAGGGCTCACACAAATGACTGTTAATTCATACATGCATGGCCATATAGAACCCAACCCAGTAGTGGGATTCAGCCAGTTCGCACCACTTCGGCAGAACCGGTAGCTAATTTTTTGTTGCCCAGGCCCAGAACAGACTTCCAGAAGTGGCATTTTCACAGAGAACTGGTTGTTCACCACGTATTTGAATCCCACCACTGACCCATCCCAAAAGTGAACCTTTAGAAAGAAAACATGTCAATAGACCTTTAAGAAGCCCATTAGCTGTTCTCTCTCTCTCTCTCTCTCTCTCTCTCCCTCCCTCCCTCCCTCCCTCCCTCCCTCCCTCTCCCTCTCTCTCTCTCTCTCTCTCTCTGTATGACATTCTGTCTGTTTGACTTTGTCAGGCATTTGTTTCATCCTGTTCTGCAGGTAAAATAAAAGCTACTCCTCTGGGAATACATTTGTGCACCTGTCAGATGTTTGACTCTGAGGAAAAACTTTGAGGAGACTGAGCTACAAGAGGAGAGATGCCTCCAGAGTCAAGATGAATGGTTAATGCTGGTGATTGTTTTGGTGTCATTTTGGGGATTGAAATGGTTTAGTGGAGGCTTCTAAAATGGTTGGGTGGAAGAGAACACAGCATTTGTTAAAGTTACTTTTAAGCTTTTTTTTTTTTAATTTTCCAACACACAATATTCAGAAATGTCAGCTTTAGCAGCAACTTTAGCCTCACTTTAGCAATGGTATAATATTCAGCACAGTTGTTCTTTCTTCCTAAGAGAAATTTTCTTGATGGAGAACGTAGAAGATCAGCTATTCTGCTGGTGTAGCCAACAGCACTGGTACATTTAAAGCATTTTCAAGAATCCTGCCTGTTAATGGATCCATAAGTATTTCAAATTCAGGTGGACTGCAACAGCAAAAGCCCTAGAACTGATATCTGTAATACATTATGATGACATTAAGCCTCCACAAAGTGCTGTACTTCCACTTTGATGAAGCAATTTGTGACCTGAGGACTACGAAAGGTGCCAGAAGCAGCTTTGGAATTGGAATAATGGTGGCACTTTAATTTGTCTCTTAAGAAGCAGTGGGCAGTTTTCTTTATGCCGTGTATGGAGGAAAATAAAGATGGAACAAAGTGAAAGTCATAGATTTTTCATTCAAATTACTTTCTTGGACAATCAGAGTTCTGCTTATTAAAAGGACGCTTAGATGGGGAAAGACCAGCATCTGCCATTATTACATACACAAATTACTTTAAAAGTTTCAAGAGAGAAACCCTGAATACACAATCAAGGCTGAGTAGTCTGAGGTGATTCCCTCCCCCCTATTTTTCAGTAGTGCAAAAATCTATGAAATTTATTGTGGCATTTATACATCCAGGAGGATCCCATATTTAATTTACACCTCTGAGGTAGATTAGTGAAGGAATTTAGAAAGGCTCTTTAGAGAACTGAAGAATCTTTAAGGAAGGATGATATGCTAATTTGTTGTGAAAAGGACCAAAGTAATTGGTGAGTATGCAGAAGGGAGTTTTGCTTAATTGGCAACAAAAATACACATAGAAGCAGAACTAAGTAATTTTATAGTTGTTGTGGATTTCTAATATAAATTACACATTTCAAGCAATCTTAATATGCCTTTTAATACATATAATTGTGCATATGCACTACATTCAGAAAGTATGCAGATCCCCTTTACTTTTGTCAATTTTACTTTTGTCAACAACTTATTCTACAGTTGTTGAAATTCATTTTTTTTCTCATTAATCTACACTCAGTACCCCACAATGACAAACTGAAAACAGAATTTCTTTCTCCATATGATTCTTCCATCAATTTCTATATCCTTTTAGTACTTATTAGATAAAAACAAGGGAAATCCTGCTGCTATTTTACATGTACTCCTTTACGTTTCAGGCATTGGCTCTATAGAATAATGGCATAAATATTATGAAAGATTTGCTTTGAATATTTGATCATATCTCTGATTCAAACTTCTCCATTACATTCAAGTCTGCCAAAATTTTGGAAGCTTCTGGAGCATCAGGACCAACAGTGAAATTAATAAAGGTTCCAATTGTATCTATTGTTTATCTCTCTGCCTGACTGTCTGTGTCCCTGTCTCTCTGTGTATGTCTGTGTGTATAGTAACTTGTGTTCTTTATACTTTAAAAGTCCAAAGTAAGAGTGTTATGCTAATTTTAGCCGAATCCTCAAAAATTGGTTTTCCAGCTATTTATAAGTAGGGATTACTGTATAATGTCAATTTCTCATTAAATTTGGAGTCAAAATTTAATTTTATTCCTTAGAGTATCTAAAAGTGTGTGACCATCTTTAATGCTATATAAATAATCAAATTACTTCTATAGTTAAATATAGGAATTTGCCAGGGTTTTAAGGGAACTTTGCTATCAAATGCAGTACGGATCTTTGAATAAGAAAATTCTTGGAAATTCTCTTGACAATAGGGGTTTATTCCACTATGCTTATTCTGTGCTGATTTATTGACATATAAAAACAATAAAATGAAGAGAAATGTATATTTTCTATCTTGCACTCTGTTTTAAATATTTTAATGTGATCTATGAGTTTCCTTCTACCTTGTTGCTATGTTACAGGTTTGTAAGCACATCAACAGCAGTTCTCAAGTGTCAAGGTTATGATTTAACAGCCAAACAGCTTATGTAATGATGTAATGTAATATAAGGTAGATGTTGCAATAATAGGAATGACTCAGCAGGTGTGTGTATCCCTTTAAGAGTCTGAGTATAAAAGGGAAGGCTTTTGCTGTTGTATTTTCTCTTGTCTGTTTCCTGCTGTAATTGCTGTGCATTGGAATTTGCTGAATTATCACCATGTGTATGTATTTTGTTTCTAGTGTATATTTGTAGATAGTATATGATAAATCACTATTTAATATAAACCACTGTTTACTGTATTTACTCCTAGATTACCTCAGCGCAATAACACTGTGCATGCTCCAATGAATGGAAACTGATCAAGGCGAGAAGCAACTTAGAACTAAGGAGAAACTTCCTGACAGTTAGAACAATTAACCAATGGAACAACATGCCTCCAGAAGCGGTGAATGCTCCAACACTGGACGATTTTAAGAAGAGACTGGACAGCCATTTGTCTGAAATGATGTAGGGTTCCTACCTGAGCAGGGGGTTGGACTCGATGACCTCCAAGGTCCCTTCCAACTTTATTATTATTATTATTATTATTATTATTATTATTATTATTATTACTATTATTACTATTATTACTATTACCATTATTATTATGGATCATTGCACAGTCAGCCAGATGTTCAGACTGGATTTGGCATTTTGTCTACCTATCGAGTCCTTACCCAGGACCTGGGATAGGCAGATGTGGATGTTTGATGGTATTACAGGTATCGTCGCAGGATGGAAGCAGTTCCTAGAAAGGCCGCCTTTTGCAATTGACTAATAGCGAATTTGTCAATGCCAATGGTGTTCAAGTGGTGCTCCAGTTGTTTTGGGATTGCACCCAAGGAGCCTATTACTATTGGTACTACCCTTGCTTGCTTTTGCCACAGTCTTTCTATTTCTATTTGTAGGTCTTTGTATTTTGTTATCTTCTCCAGTTCTTTCTCATCTATTCTGCTGTCTCCAGGCACTGCCACGTCCACTATCCAGACTTTTTTGTCTTTCTTATCGACAATTGTTAAGTCTGGGGTGTTATGTTGCAGGTGCTTGTCTGTTTGAATTCTGAAGTCCCAGAGCAGTTTAATTTTATCATTTTCTATGACTTTCTCTATTTTATGATCCCACCAGTTTTTGCTTACAGGCAATTATTATTATTATTATTATTATTATTATTATTATTATTATTATTATTATTATTATCATCATCATTAAGATACAAAGGAATGAGGATGATTTGAATTGCCTAGTTTAAAACAGTATTTTCCAGAATGAAGTATTTCTACCAAAGTTTCTGAAATCTTGTGATTGATTGTACATAACAATAATAATGGAAAACCCATTTTGAACAGTATTTCCTTCTAAATCGTTTTATAATTGGCTCACTATGCATATAGAAATAATGTTGGTAAATAGATTAACATATTGAGAATCCAAAGCCGCTTCATATTGTATTTAGAAATCCATTAACACAAGCAGTAGATACATTTATATGCCATTTCAGTTATCCAATGCAGCCACTGCTTCAGAATTTCCATTTCAGCAAGCTCTATGTCATTTATAAAATCAAGCCAGTCTCTTTGCAGCATATGGGTTATTATCAACAATAGCTAGGTAATGAAAAGCAAGATCAGATTCTGAAATACTTATTCTAAAAAATGCTAAACTGTGTTAGATAGACGCAAAAGGAATATAACTAGAGTGTTGTGAAGTAGCTTGGCTTTTCAGCATTGAAGAAAAGCAAAATGGAAACTTGCCTACATTGTAAGATTAAGTGAGCGTGACATGAAAATCGTGGAGGCAGAAAAAAAATGAAAGCACTGTAGAAGTGTTAAATATTGTGTTAGAAGGAGTATCTATATTGTATGTGACTAGGCTGCCCTATTTAAATTAACCCACTTGATACAATGCTTTCTGCTGCAGTTTGGAAGCATCTGAGTTCTAATTTCCCTTTTATATATTTGGTTTATCTTGTTCCTTTTGTAAATGGAATGGCCCTTTTTACATAAAAAAAACCTGAAGGCTAAGTATGTAAAATGACCATTCTCAGCATGCCTTTAATCTATGCTCATGAGATTCCTACCAATTCATTGAGGATCCCCAATCACATTGAAAAGATAGTCTCATTCATGGTAACGTCTTACCTTGGTGGCACAGTGGTTAGGATGAAGTATTGCAAGCTAACTCACTGCTCACTGTGAGGAGTTCGATTCTGACCAGCTCAAGGTTGATTCAGCCTTCTATCTTCCGAAGTTAGTGGAATGAGGACCCAGATTGTTGATGGCAATATGCTGACACGGTAAAACTATTTAGAGAAGTCTGTAAAAGCACTATGAAACAGTATAAAAGTGCTATTGCTATTGCTTCTTCCAAGATGCTAACAAGGAACCTAGACATGTAAAGCTAGCAAGCAAAGAGAACATAAGTATTAAAGACTCTCATGATCTCCAAGCTTTCAAATTGTTGTAACCTTGACCTTTGAACATTTCTCTTATTATTAACTGCTGATTTTGTTCATCTTCATTAGAATTTTTGAACTGGATTAAATCATAAAACTGTGTGTCTATATATGTTTCCTTGTCTCCAGTTTTGCTCTAGAGGTAACAATTGATTCATTGGCTCATTCAGAAGATGTGCAGTTAGAAAGCAAATTTCTCAGAAAGCTGAACTCTCTAGGGCATGTTTTCAGTGTAAAAAATGTGTTTTTATTATATAATAAATTGTAGCTCTGTATGATGGAGCAAACCCCTGTTTAATATATTTTGGTTTACTTACAATTCAGATTCCACCCCCATTTAAAGGATGAATATTTCTCACACTAAATTCTTTTCTGTTTTACACAGGATGTTATATTTACATAGGTATCGATTTGTAACCACAATGACACCAAACTGAACAAAAAATGTTTTGTGACATCTCCAGCCTCTTCCTTGATGGGTAATACATATTCTGTCACTTTTCCCTTTGGCAGATGACTATGTCCACGAAATTGAAATTTTATTGCAAAAGACACAATTTACATCAATTACATAATCATGCAATCAATCTAAATGGATGCAAATAACACATATTTGGATTTAATGGACACCCTTCTCCCCTCAAATGGCCTGTTAAATTGAGGTTTTATTATATTATATGTGATGCAGAAAGAAAGCAATGGATCCCTTTTTCTGTGGTACTTCTATAGTATGTAATAGTATATGAACTCCATGGAAATTTAATTTTAAGCTTGCAAAAATCTATACCTAACTTGAGGGTAGAAAATGAAAAAAAAAAAAGAACTGAAGAAGGGAACTAATATTTTCATCATCAAGTACTTTTTCTGGGTATTTGGAACCAAGGTGGACTCTGGCACAGTAGGAAATAAGAACAAGTAGGAGGGAAAATTGAAGCAGGAATCGCTTTCAGCGTACAACAAAGTAGAAGTTGAAAACTAAATATTCACCTTCAAAGTTTTTAGTAGGCTTTCTTCTTTCTCATTTTCAATGGTATCTTTAAATAGCAAAATAATGGAGACTTTGGCATTCATTTCAGAGATTCAAAAAGATCTTTAAAATCCTTTTCCTTATCGTTAAAAAAAAATAACAATTCCTTTCCCACTTGCTGATGTTATACCATCATTTTTCTTTCTTTCTTTTTTCTCCTTGCTCACTTTTTAATGAAAAAAGAACATTATCTTGCGGGAAGGAAGAGGGAACAAGCATGAGAAACAAGCTTATCTAATATCAACATGCAAAGCATCTTTTTTGAGCCAAATGATTAGTGAAGTGTGATCCTCCACCCCTGCTTCCCAAAATATAGGTTTTTCTCTTGAAGATAATTAGAAAATGTTTACTGTTTTCATAATAGTTCTAAAGTAGTTTATAGTTTCCTTGCAACTTTACTTGGGAACTGTGATGTAGAGATGGGGAAAGCAAAGCATTGCTAAGCTAGCATGTTAACAATCCCCCCCCCATCTCTGGGATTCCTGAAATGTTGCACAGAAAGGTAGCTTTGCCAGGTTGAGGAGCAGGTGACAATTTGGACATCTTCTAGTTGGCAGGTATTTCATTGCCATATGGAAAGTACCTCCTCTTGTTTTTTTTTTTTTTTTGGTTTTTTTTTTTGTTTTGCTTTGCTTTGCTTTGCTTTGCCTTTGCCTTAGTTGAACCTTCCTCTGGAATTGAATTTGGTATTGGCAGCTAACCATTTATATCCCGAGAAAAACAGTAAACCTGGAAATGAGAAAGAAGCACAAGGTGACTGTTCAAAACAGGTCTTTCCTATTATAATGGTTCTTCTGTATTAAAATGCCATTAAGAAGAAAGTTTTGCTTATCACGAAGACCAAGCAAGTGTAATACACAGTTCACAAGATTTATCTGGCTCATACAAGAACCAGATACAAAATTTATCTGGCTCACACCAGGACCAGATAGTATCAGAGATAATTCACACAAGATCCAGTATGCATGTTGCATAAATATATTCATCTCTGTTCCATATAATGTGTGGCTATAAGCTTGGACTTCTAAATTGGCGCTCCAATTTTTTTTTTTTTCTTAATCTGAAACTTAATTTGATTTTTTAAAAAAATCTTTTACTGGCACAAAGTACATCTTGCAGATGCTTGCTCCTGCTTAGTTCACTCTAATTCTAAGCCACTTCGGAATAATTTAAGGTAAAATACAGTCTAGTTGAAAGCTAATCTATCGAGAATTATTACTTAGGGGATTGACTCTGCATAATCTTGGGGTCCTTTGCATAAATTATGATTCCAAAGAATGTAGTGAGATGTCATGGAAGCCTCTCATAAGAATAAATCCTTAATAAGAATTATGAGAATGCTAGGCAATAAGACTTCCATTACAAATATTTTTAAAAGACTTACGGATAGACTAAAAAAAATGATAAGTAATTCCCCCTTGGCTTGTTTCAATTTACTAGTTGTTCTTATTATGAGGATAGGAAATCACCAGAAATCACAAGAGTTGTAGGCTTTATATCTGGAAGTTTAAGGAAAAATAAAAATAAAAAGCAGAAGTAATGGAAAACTTCCTTCATATTATGGCAAAGAAAATGCCATGGATTCATCTCCAGAATTTGACTTGACAAAGTTTTAACTTTCTCATGAAAGTACTAAGCACTTTACCAAAAATTGGATTACAAATTTTCTTGCTCTTGCCATTTGAACTTTGTTTCATCAATAAATGAGATTTGTAAGATATAGCTTTAAACTTCAATTTATCCGTATAAATAACCATCCATTTTTAACCCATCCCCATCTTTTTAATTAACCTACTTAACTGGATTGATGGCTCATTGAAAATGTTAGAACTAAATTTCAGATTGCTTCCAATTTAGACACACACGTCTTAGAA